CCCCCCCCTCTCTCTCTCTCTCGCCCCCCCTCTCTCTCTCCCTCCTTCTTCTCTCTCTCTCCATCTTAACATACTTTGCAACAGTTGCAACAAGCACACTCGTTAGTCAACCTTGATTGGATCCTGTCACTCTCTCCTTCCCGGATGCTCATAGGATAATATTTCTCCGTCTTCTAATTCCTCCCTTTCTTGTCTTTCTTCTTTCCTTGTTTCTTCTCTTCATTTCCCCTCATCATCATTTTTTTCTTTCCTCCTATTCTTCTCTTCTTCCTTCTTTTTCCCTCTATTCTCTCTTCCTTTCTCCTTCCCTCATTTTCTCTTTCCTTTCTCTTTTCCTTCTCTCTATCCTCTCTTTCTTTCCTCTTTCTCTTCTCCCTTTTTCCTCTTCCATCCCCCTTGTCTCTCTCTTCCCTTCCTACATCTTCCCTTCCTTCTCCTTCTCTCCTTCCTTTTTCTTTCTCTCCTTCTCTCTTCCCTTCCCTCATTTCTCCTCCTTTCCCTCTCTTCCTCCCTCCTCTCTCTCTCTCTCTCCTCCCTTCCTTCCTTCCCTCCTTCTCTCTCTCTTTTCTCCCTCTCCCTCCTTCTCTCTTCCCTTTCTCCCCTTCCTTCCTTCCTCCCTTTCCTCTTTTCCCTCCTTTCTTCTCTCTCTTTCCTTCTTCAATCTCTCCTCCCTTTCTCCCCTTCCTCCTTCCTCCCTTTCCTCTCTTCCCTCCTTCTTCTCCTCCCTTTCTCCCCTTCCCTCCTTCTATCCTCCTTCCTCTTCTTCCCTCCTTCCTTCTCTCTTCTCCCTTTCCTTTCCCTCCAATCCTCACCTCCTTCTCCCCCTTCCCTCCTCCTCTCTCTCTCTTTCCTTCCCTCCTTCTCTCCTCTCCCTTTCCTTTCCTTCCCTCTATCTATCCTCCCTTCCCCCCTTTCTCCCCTTCCCTCCTTCCTCTCTCTCTCTTTCCTTTCCTTCTTCCTTCTCTTTCTCTCCCTTTCCCTTCCCTCCAATCCTCCCTTTCCTTTCCTTCCCTCCTTCTCCTCTCTCTCTTTCCTTTTCTTCCCTCCTTCCTCCCTTTGTCCCTTTCCCTCTTCCTCTCCTCCTTTCCCCTCCTCCTTCCTCTTCCTCCCTTTCTCCCCTCCCTCCTTCCTCTCCTCCCTTTCTCCCCTTCCCTCCTTCTCTCCTCCCTTTCTCCCCTTCCCTCCTTCCTTCTCTCTCTCTTTCCTTCCCCTCCTTCCTTCTCCTCCCTTTCCCTTCCTCCTTCCTCTCCAACCTTCTCCCCCTTCCCCCTTCCTCTCCTCCCTTTCTCCCTTCCCTCCTTCCTCTCTCCCTCCTTCCTCTCCTCTCTCTCTTTCCCCCCTTCCCTCCTTTCCTTCTCTCCTCTCCCTCTCCCTTCCTCTCTCTCCCCTCTCTCCTCTCCCTTCCTTTCCTTCCCCCTCTCCTTCCTCTCTCCTCTCTCTTTCTCCAAGGAGCGTTCGACGTCCCTCCCGAATCTCACTCACCCGAATGGATCACAGATGTCGCCCTCCGCTGCACACGACGCGGCTCCCTTGCGCGCTCGTCTTTGCAACAGGGGCATGACCTCGGCTCTGCCACTTGCGAGTCCAGGAGGTGGGGTGGGGGATGGGGGAGGGTGGGGGAGGTGGGGGAGTTAAAAGGGGTAGGGGGGTAGTGAGGGGTAAGGGGGAGGTAGGGAGGTAGGGAGGTGGGGAGGGGGGTTGGGGTAGAGGGGTAAGGGGAGGTAGGAGGTGGGGGACGTTAGAGGGGGGTAGGGGCAGTGAGGGTAAAGGGGTGGGGTTGGGGTAGTGAGGGTAAGGGGATAGGGGTTGAGGTAGAGGGGGTTAGTTGGGGTATAGGGGGGAGGTGGGAGGAGGTGGAAGAAGGGGTGGGTATAGGGAGGGTAGAGGAGGGGGAAGAAGGGGGCATAGGGGGGGGAGGTATTGAAAAGAGGTTTTTCTTTGGTATTTTCTATGTCGTTAATAAAGAATGTTTATAACTACAATAAAAATGAATATGATGACGATGATGATGTTGATAATGATGATAAGAAAAGGGATCAACTATGATGATAGTATGATGATGATGATGATGCTGATGATGGTAACGATAATGATAATGATGATGATGGAAATGATAATGGAGATGATGTTGGTAACGATAATGATAATGGAGATGATAGTAGCGATAATGATAATGATAATGATCGCAATGATAATGGTGAAAATTATAATGATGATGGTAATGATGATGATAAAACATCGAGGGCTCAACTATTATGATAGTATGCAGAGATGTCCAACGAATCATCCCTTTATTATAAAACTTCCCGATACCCGACAATTCATCGTAAATATCTTACAGCGAAGCGCACCTGAATCCCGGATGCCAGTGCGATTTTACGACAAGATTCAATCTGACATGTCGTAACATGACGTGACAAACTCGACGAGCATAATGCGAGATATGACACTGTTAACATTTACGTCACAGATGCCGTTCGATCGCTTGGGCGGTTCTACACATTCAGTCTCAAGTATTTCACAAAATGTCAGAGTCATAAGCCGCGTCTTGACTCACGTGCCCCTTGCGTAACGCGAGTCGCTAGTCATGAGTCTTATGCGGCATAAACAAGGCATAAAAAGACCCATTTTGTAAGCATAACAAGCCGCGACGACCCAACAGCCACTTGCGCGCCATGTTAAGCTTTGAATAGCCGAACTGGAGAGCCATTTCAGGGACACATCTCTTCGCGTGCTGAATTGCCAAGAAATACCGTCAATGGTATTATTATACCTCGTCAACATCGCGTCTTGTTCTTGACACAATTTTGCCCCGTGCGTTTTGCAATGTTGCGTGTGTGAAATGGCAAGTTTTGGGGGGACTTGTTCAACCTCGTTTTAAAGGCCGGAGAATGGATGTGGGTGTACTCTACTACGGACTATTTTGAAGTTTGTGGAATCTTTATACAATAAAATGAATGTTAAATAAGGTAACGCAGGGTGTGTGAGGTATGTATTCAGTGAATGGAGAAGAAACGATTTGTCAAAGTCTTCAGAAAAGGTAAAATATGACAAAGTTATACCGTTGAGCAATGCCTCTGATTTGTTATTTCGTACACTGGAATGAAATACATATTCAATGCCATGAACTAACAAAGCACCTTCATCGATTTCTTTCGAAACTCTATAAATATCACTCATAAACCTTCAAGCAATATTGGTAGAGTGAATATGCGTATACATTATAAATTCATAAAAAATACTCTAGGAGCTTTTTCAGGCAGAAACGAACCCATAAACATATCAAGGCAATTGCAAACTATATATATGCATGTCCTATTACAGTACTGTACATATGAATCAATTTTAAGACCACTTATAAACGAACCAACTCTCTTTACAAGATCAAACCTGCACGCATTTTATCAAATAATGATAATAAAAACATGATCAAGAAGTTTCGAAACTGTAAAGAAAAAAATAGGGATCACGAAGTTTCGAAACTGTAAAATAATAATAATAATAATAATAATAATAATAATAATAATAATAATAATAATAATAATAATAATAATGATAATAATAAATAATGATAATAATAATAATAGTAACTTTCGAAACTGTAAAAAAGATCCAAACTGATCACAAATCCAAACTGTAAATCAAAAACTAAAAGTGATCACAAAGAAAAAAAAGTGATCATCAAAGTAAAAAAGTGATCACAAAGTTTCCAAACTGTAAAAAAAAAAAAAAAAAAAAAAAAATCAAAAAAAAAAAAAGTGATCACAAAGTTTCCAAACTCACAAAGTTCCAAACTAAAAAGTGATCACAAAGTTTCCAAACTGTAAAAAGTCACAAAGTCTCCAAACTCACAAAGTTTCCAAACTAAAAAAGTGATCACAAAGTTTCCAAAAAAAAGTGATCACAAAGTTTCCAAACTGTAAAAAAGTGAGTTTCCAAACTAAAAAAGTGATCACAAACAAACTCACAAAGTTTCCAAACTGTAAAAAAGTGATCACAAAGTTTCCAAACTAAAAAAGTGATCACAAAGTTTCCAAACTGTAAAAAAGTGATCACAAAGTTTCCAACTGATCACAAAGTTTCCAAACTGTAAAAAAGTGATCACAAAGTTTCCAAATGTAAAAAAAGTGATCACCCAAACTGTAAAAAAGTGATCACAAAGTTTCCAAACTGTAAAAAAAGTGATCACAAAGTTTCCAAACTGTAAAAAAAAAGTGATCACAAAGTTTCCAAACTGTAAAAAAGTGATCACAAAGTTTCCAAACTAAAAAAAAAGTGATCACAAAGTTTCCAAACTGTAAAAAAGTGATCACAAAGCAAACTAAAAAACAAAGGATCACAAAAAACTGTAAAAAGTGATCACAAAGTTTCCAAACTGTAAAAAAAGTGATCACAAAGTTTCCAAACTGTAAAAAAGTGATCACAAAGTTTCCAAACTGTAAAAAAGTGATCACAAAAACTGTAAAAAAGTGATCACAAAGTTTCCAAAAAAAAAAAGTGATCACAAAGTTCCAAACTGTGTAAAAAAGTATCACAAAGACTGTAAAAAAGTGATCACAAAGTTTCCAAACTGTAAAAAAGTGATCACAAAGTCTCCAAACTGTAAAAAAAAGTGATCACAAAGTCTCTAAACTGTAAAAAAGTAATCACAAAGTCTCCAAACTGTAAAAAAGTTATCACAAAGCCTCCAAACTGTAAAAAAGTGATCACAAAGTCTCCAAACTGTAAAAAAGTGATCACAAAGTCTGCAAACTGTAAAAAAGTGACCACAAAGTATCCAATCTGTAAAAAAGTGATCACAAAGTTTCCAAACTGTAAAAAAGTGATCACAAAGTCTCCAAACTGTAAAAAAGTGATCACAAAGTCTCCAAACTGTAAAAAAAGTGTCACAAAGTCTACAAACTGTAAAAAAAGTGATCACAAAGTATCCAATCTGTAAAAAAGTGATCACAAAGTAAAAAAGTGATCACAAAGACTGTAAAAAAGTGATCACAAAAAACATGACCACAAAGTCTCCAAACTGTAAAAAAGTGATCACAAAGTCTCCAAACTGTAAAAAAAGTGATCACAAAGTCTCCAAACTGTAAAAAAGTGATCACAAAGTCTCCAAACTGAAGTGATCACAAAGTCTCCAAACTGACCACAAAGTTCCAAACTGTAAAAAAGTGATCACAAAGTCTCCAAACAAAGTGACCACAAAAAACTGTAAAAAAGTGATCACAAAGCTTCCAAACAGTAAAAAAGTGATCACAAAGTCTCCAAACTGTGTTCGCATCCGTCACAGCCCTCCCCTCCTCCCCTCACAGGTGGAACAAGCCTACAAGCAGTACATCAAGGACACCGTCAAGCTCTTCGACGCCAGCGGACCCGACGCCCTCGAGTTCGCCGCCCTCCTCTACCACTACGAGAGCCGAATCGCCGAGATCACGCCCTCGGAGAGTGTCCTTCGAGACCCCCTGTCTTCGAACCACCTCATCTCCGTCGGGGAACTGTCGCAGATCGCTCGGAGTGTGAGTATATGAGGAAATATGAGGAAATGGATGAGGATTTCGGTTCCTTTTCGTTTCTGCAGTTCAATTGAGACTTATTTGTTCAGAATTATGTTTGATACTTATTTGTTCTGATTTTTTTTTTTTTTTTTTTTTTTTTGTAATTCCTTACCTAACATTTAGAGTTATTAATTTTATTTTTGTTTATAATCATATGTTGACCTTGAATTCCACCCACTCATGAATTCCTCCAATGATGATAGTGATAGTAATTGTAATAATGATGATAATGATGATGATACTGATAATAATACTAATACTAATAATGATAAGGATAATAATAACAATAATAATGATGATAATGATAATAATGGTAATAATAATAATAATTAGTAATAATATGATAATCATGATAATAATAATGATAATAATAATAATAATAATAATAATAATAATAACAATAATAACGGTAACAACAACAAAAACAAAAATGTATCAAATGTTCGATAAGGAATAGACATTAGACATACCCGACCTCCCCCCTCCCTCCCCCACCCCCACCCCCCCCCCCACCCCACCCCACCCCCTCCCCCACCCCACACCCTACCCCCACCCCACCCCACCCCCACCCCCCACCCCCCACTCACGAATTCCTCCTAAGTCCGTGTCGCCCGCAGGTTCCTTGGCTCGATCTCCTGAGGACCATCTTCCCCAACAGTAAATTAGATCACAGGACTGACGTCTTGGTTGTGTCTCGGGAATACTTCAGTGACCTTTCTGAACTTATCTCCACGACAGATAGAAGGTAATTTAGGTTTTAAGTCCGTTTGTGTTTTTTTTTTTTTTTGTGTGTGTGTGTGTGTGTGTGCGTGTCTGTTGTTGTTGTTTGACGGTTGGAATTATAGATTTTTTAAAATATTTTTTTTTTTTTTTACTCAAGATACTCAAATTCTGTCTTTTTTCTCGATACTCAACTTCTATATATTTTTTTTACTCAAGATAAATTCTGACAATTTTTTTTTTTTTACTCACTCAAATTCTGACTAATTTTTTCTCAAAATACTCAAATTCTGACTTTTTTTTTTTACTCAAGATACTCAAATTCTGACATTTTTTTTCTTTTTTACTCAAGATACTCAAATTCTGACTCATTTCATCTCCATTCCACAGCCTCCTGAACAACTATCTCATCTTCAGCTTCGTGACAGCTTTTATGCCATACCTGTCAGCTGATAACAAAAGAGTGCTGGATCTTTACCACAGGGAGTTTACAGGTCAGCATAAGGGTCTGTTTTGAATGTCTTTGTGCACGGTGGACTTATCATATAATGTGCTTGTTCAATTTTGTAAGATCTTTCATTTGACGTGGAAAATGGTATCATATGTGCCTTTTTTGTTTATATATCAGTATCCGATCTATTATATATCAGGATCCATTTTATGTTATATCAGTATCCATTCTACCATATATCAGTATCAATTTTATTATATATCAGTATGCATTCTATTGAATATCAGTATCCATTCCGCTATATATCCATTTACTATATATTAGTATCCATTCTACCATAAATCAGTATCCATTCTATCATTTATCAGTATCCCTTTTATCTAATCCACATATCCTGTATTTTTCTTATTATAACTTTTATTTGCTTATTCATCTATTTATTTATTTATTTTTTTTTTGGGGGGGGGGCATTCATATCCATTTCATCCTTAGCATATCCATCTATTTCCTTATCCTTATCCCTTATCTCTAATCTTTCTCCTTTCTCAACCAACCACGTGACTTCTCCAACCACGTGACTTCTCTGACTTCTCCAAACTGACTTCTCCAACCACGTGACTGACTTCTCCAACCACGTGACTGACTTCTCCAACCACGTGACTTCTCCAACCACGTGACTTCTCCAACCACGTGACTGCCACGTGACTTCTCCAACCACGTGACTGACTTCTCCAACCACGTGACTGACTTCTCCAACCACGTGACTTCTCCAGGTGTGCAAGAGCCGATGGAAAGGTGGGAGTTCTGTATACAAACGACAAACAAGTTCTTTAGCTTCGGCCTCGGTTCCCTCTACGAAAGGTCGCCCGCGAGGCTGAGAGTTCGACAAAGGAACGACTATGTTGTAAGTTGTAGGTTTTTTTTTTTTTTTTTGAGGGTTTTTGGCTTTTTTTTTTGAGAGGTTGTGTGCGTGTGTGAGAGAGAGGGGGGAAGGGGGGGGGATAGGGGGAAGGGTTGGGGGGTTGGGGGGGTTGGGGGGGTTGGGGGTTGGGTAGGTGGGTTAGGGGTAGGGGTGGTTTGGTTGTGTGGTGGCAGGGGGGCCGTGGGGGATAGGGGGGTAGAGAAGGTGGGGGTTCAGGGGGGAGGTTAGGGAAGGTGGGGGTGTTGTTTTTTTTTTTTGGGGGGGTAGGGGAACGTAGTAGAGAAGGGTTAAGGGGTTAAGGAAGTGGAAGGCTTCGCATGGGGGGGGGGGGTAGGGGAGGGGAAGGATAGGGGGGAGGGGAAGGAGGTGTATATAAGACAGGAAGTTACGTGTGAGTATACAAGTGTAACGTAATGCATATCCTTTATACATTCTGAAAAAGCAATATATTCATATTTTTACACCAGTTACCATCACTAACCATACCGATATTGACCCGTCGATTTGCAGTTGCACAAAATCTTCAACCAAATTCGCTACACCTTCGCCAACAATTTAGCAAACAGCCGATGGTACCCGCTGGAGGTCAAGGCACAACTCACATCGAAGGTAAGACATCCCATGGTGTGTCTAAGTCTCCTTCATCTGTCTGCCTATGTCTACGTCTTTGTCTGTCTGTCTGTAGCTCTCTATGTGTCTATTGGTCTAGGTATTAGTCAGTTAGTCTATCTATCTATTTATCTATCTATCTATCTGTCTGTCTGTCTGTCTGTCTTCTATCTATCTATCTTATCTATCTATCTATCTATCTATCTATCTCTCTATATATATATATATATATGTGTGTGTGTGTGTGTTATGTTGTATGTGTATGTTGTGTATGTATGTATGTATGTATATGTATATACATATATTTATGTATATATATATATATATATATATATATATATATATATATATATATATATATATATATATATATACTATCTATCTATATCTATATCTATATATCTATATATATATATATATATATTTATATATATATATATATATATATATATATATATATATATATATATATATGTGTGTGTGTGTGTGTGTGTGTGTGTGTGTTATATATAATGATGATGATAACAATAGTAATAATGATAATAATAATCAATTATATTGCTAATAATAACAATTAATAATAATAATAATAATAATAATAATAATAATAATAATAATAATAATAATAATAGCAACAATAATCATAATGATAACCCCTATCCTTTTTCAGCTCAATAACATGACGTTGGCAGTGGGTTATCCTAACCGTCTGCTGGATCTCGGTGTGATTAACGCTTATTATGAAGACTACACCATTTTCATTAAGGATTTCTTCCAAAACTTGCAGGTAGGACTAAAGTAAAACGGAATTTCAGGAGTAAGTAGGTCTTTTTTCGAAATTTCTGGTTATTTTGGGATGGTTTTGAAGGTTGTTAGTTAGGTTTTTGGGTTTTGTTGATGTTTTTGTTTCTTCTGGGGATAGTTTTGTTGTTGTTTTTTTTTTTTTTTTTTTTGGAAAGAGTGTTATTCGTTATTTGAGATATTTTGTAATCATGAAAATGTATTAGAAAAAAAAAAAGAAGAAAAAGAAAAAAAAAGAAAAAATATATTAGTAAAAAATAGATAAAGAAATAACATTGGATATGGTGATGATATTACTACTAATAATGATAAAAGGATAATGATGATAATGATTATAATAACAAATAATAATAATGATAATTATAACAGTAATGATAATGAAAATAACTTGATGATAATGGTCATGGTACTATTGATGATGATAATAATGATAATTACAATAATGATGATAACAATGATGATAATCATAATAATGACAATACTAACAATCACAAGAGTAAGAATGAGAGTCATGATGAGGACAATAACCATGATGATAATAATAATGATAATGATAATAATATTGATAATGATAATAATAATGGTTATATTATGATCATTGTTATTATTATCAATATCATTATAGTTGTTGTGATCATTATTAGTGACAATAATAATAACAAAAATAATTATGATAATAATGAAAAATATATATAATGATATAAAATGATATGATAATGGTAATGATATGATAATAATGAAAATGATAAATAAAATAATAATGATAATAGTAAAAAACAATGATATCAGTAATAATGAAAATAATACTATTGATAATAATAGTAATAATAATGATAATAATGATAATGATAATAATGATAATAATGATAATAATGATGATAATAATGATAATAAAATAATGATAAAAGTAATGATAATAATGATAATAAAGGAAACGAAAAGAAAAGA